TTTTTAGTTACGATTTTTCTACCTGGTTAAACGCATGAACGTCAGTATTATCCTGTATTCCCTCTTTGACTCTTTAATACCGTGTTGAATAACATCTTTTTTGCAGATGAAAAGATCTTCGGCCCTTCGCCAAAGCATGATCGTTTAATAACGTGGACACAATTTTGTAAGAATCCGTTGCCCGGTCGAGAGTTCACATTTTTCCATTGGTTTCACGATGCAACGAAACTAACGCGATCGCATCTCAGTAAACAATGGAATAAAGGGCTCATCTGTGGCTTCATTAGTAAGGATCAAGCACAGAAAATGCTACTCAAATGTGCGCCGGGCACATTTTTGCTACGATTCTCCGACAGTCAACTTGGTAATGAATTCGATGTTGACCATTTTTCTTGATTCAGTACAACATATGACGTATTTTTTTATTGTTCAATTTCAGGTGGTATATCGGTTGCTTGGGTTGAAAAAAATGACGATGATTCCTTAACTGTTACACATTTAGAACCATTTCTTTCATACGATTTCGAAAACACCAAACCATATCGGTCGATTGGCGATTTTATTGAACATATCAGCTATTGCACTCATCTTTATCCCGATATTCCAAAGCATGAAGCATTCGGGGAATTTTATACACAAGTCAAGCGAAAATCGTTGGAGGTATATAAGGCAAAGCAACGGTTTTTTTGAATACATTCATGCATATCTTTCGCAAAAAAATTCCAACAGCATTATTTATAGTCATTACATTTTCGAATACATTCTTGTTTTTAAATTGAAGATAAATAAGTTTTGAAGTTTCCTTTGAACGAAAAAACGAAATATTAAACTAGGGCATAAACTAGGGTGTAATTCGGTAAAGACACCCGGAAGGTTTGGTAGCTGAAAGCTGAAATCCAGTGGAAGTTGAAGTGATCCAGAGATTTTCGGAGTTTTGGCCTGATTTCAGCACTAACCAGATAGGAACGATGCAATTCGATTCTTTAAAAACGAAAAATCAATAAAAGAATTCATCCGGGTCATTGTCATTGGTTCCGCAAAAAAGGACACAAATGAGTGAATTCTTCCTTACAATATAAATGCGTAGTTCAATTCCTTCAGTAGCGACTTTTGGTGTTCTATCTCCCCGTTCCGTGTCTGTGTTCGTTCCGGTTCCGTCCATGACCTTACAGAAAACGGATATGGGCTTGTTTCCTTCCTTAAAAAATCCTTACGGAGCATATGGGCACGGTCGCGTAAGACGAAACCACGGAAAAAATGTTGAAGGTGGAGAAAAAATGGTCTTAAATTTATAAGATTGCTATGAAATTTTGCACCAAACTATTATTTCATAAACTCAATATATTCTGAGAATTTCATGGAATTTGGATTTTTTTTTCTTATCAAAATTGCCAAATTTGCGATTTTTTTGTGTCATTTTTCGACTTTTTGTGGACTCTTTTTCGAGGGCGTAAATTTCTATCAAAAATGTCATACATATTCTTAAAGAAAAAGGTTCAAATTTTAATATTCAGTCGACAGAAATCACATTCTTCTTATCGCATCCTGTTTTTTTTTTTGTCACGAAGTTTGTACTTGTAACGTTACTGACTTTTTGTGTAACGTTACTAACGTCACTTTAACGTCTGTAGATCCACCGAAAATATGTTTTTCAGCGTAATTACCATTTCTATCGTTTCTTTGATCCTTTATCTTGAAATTCTTGGTTATGGCCCGAAAAATACTAATCGCTAGATTCGCTATTTTTTTTGAAAATATAAAGCAACCTCGAAAATCACTTTCAAAACTTATAACTCCGTAATCACAAGTGATAGACAATACTTTAAGCCATTGAATTATCAGTGTTGGGGAGTTCTATCATCTATATATATAAAACTCAATGTGTGTGTATGTGTGCGTTTGTCCTATTTTTTTTTATTTTCATGATTTTTTAATTCTAGGTTTTAATGGTGAATATGTCGTTAGAATTCTCGCGGCTTAAATAGCAGATTCACATATCAGTTTTGATTTTCGAATTAAATTTTCTAAAGTTTGAAGAAACAATTTTTTTAATTGTTTTTCGATACAACGTACATTAATGTGGATTGATGGCAATGAAAAATTGGTTTTGGAACGGGGATGAACATGGACACCATCTCGGTCCATCATGGTCATGTCAACACGACTTACCACCATGAATAGTCAATATGGGTATCATATGAAAGGTTTTGGAACGGGGATGAACATGGACACCATCTCGGTCCATCATGGTCAT